CTAGATCAAGTATATGATCAACCTATCACCTCCTCTTCTAGCTTAGTGAGCTCTTTGAGTTAGGCTGGCAATCGCGTCGAGCAGGGTATACCAGCGCGTCGGCGGCGGATTGTTCGTTCAGACACGTTGTAGACAGCAGCAGCGCGATGATTACTTTGTGTTTGATGGAGATTAATAGAAGAAATAGCAAGCTAAATATCTGCTTCATTAAAAGCTAATTAAGTAGCGCTACGTTGAGCCATTGTTCGTTGAGATAGGAGAGGTGCGCAGGTTTGGTGGGGTGCGGCGCTCGCTTACCTGCGGCGCTCGCTTGCCACATACGTTATTTAAATAATATTCATAACTTCAATAAAACTAGCTTTTAGATAGGCATAATTAGCTTAATAAGGGTGGTCACAGGCGCAGAGCGTCGTACGAGGCCTACTCTCACGCAGCTAGGCAATCGCGAGTGGGTTATAGTTATCTAGAGCATCTACGCTATAGGATACGCTACCCTGCTATTTATTATCTATAAGGGACGCGTCTACATCTCTGCATAGTACGATAAAGTAGATATACTATACAACTAGAAGCTCTTAGTATTAGAGAATAGCTAGACGAATAATAAGCTTAGTCTCGCGTAGTTAAAGCACTTTAACTAGCATACAAAGACGCGTTAGGTAGAGTTATATAGGCTACTTATCCTTAACAGCTATAAGAGCCACCTTAACTGAGAATTGAGGAATTTAAGAATTACTGCCCTATACAAAAGATCCTTACACTCTATATGCCTACTTATTTGTTACACATACTTTAGCTACTTAATATTATCTACTTTTTACCTCTTAAGTAGAAGTACTCTTAACACGTATAAGACTTAGTACGCTACTATATCTAGCATACCTATAAAGAGCGCTTCCTTCTAGCCTTTTAAGACGCGTTTTTTTAACGTATTTACGTCTAATAACTATAGGAAGGCCTTTAAGGCAGTAGGGCTAGTCCCTATTAACGCGTAGAGAGTTATTAATCGCCTTAACGTACGCCTTTATACTCTACTATAAGAAGCTTAGCTAGAAATACCCTAAACATTAAGAACACTAAGTAATTCGTATAAATTTAGGTTAACGTGATAGATAAGCGAGTCGGTCAGACAAGCGAGTCGGTCACCTCACTAACTTTGCGCACTTCTATAAGCGTATAGCTCCAGTATATTATATTAGTTTTAGTAGATATTAACGCAATAGATTAATTACTATCTAGACTATCTTTCTTG